AGGCATGAGGATCACCTGAACCCAAGACTTAGAGATCACACTGAGCTATGACTGTGCTACCGCACTCCAGCCTGAGTGACAAAGTGAGACCCTGTCTCTACAATTATTTTTATTAAAAAAAAAAAAATACATAGAACTGTATAGACTTTTAATAATGCAGACATTTTACCTCACAATCATGTGGTCCTAACCACTTATTTACAAATGAGGGGAAAAAATGATTACCAAATAACTATGGTAACAGTAATCATAACTTAAAAGATTGTTATAGTTTGGTACTCATTAAGTGCCTGACCATGTGGTAAAAACTGTTTATGCATTATCTCATTTAATCCTCAAAATAACCTGATGAGATTGAAATTATTTTGTTCCCTATTTTTCAGATGAGGAAGCTGTGATTTTCTCAGGGTGATTAAGTAATTGACTCAAAGTCATGGTTAATAAGTTTCAGAAATGAGATTCATGCTCATTTTAGTTGGGACCAAAGATAATTTATAAATGACTGATGTAAAAACACAAAAAAACTATAAGCTGCCTCAGAATTTTCTATTAGAAATTTATCATCCCTAAAGGCCTTTATAAAAAGTTTACAAAGTACATTTTATGTGACTAAAATATTCCCAGAATAATTACGGCAACCAGTCTTCCAATCCCTTCCTCATCTTTCTATGTCCTTAAATATAGTAACAAGTATTGCACCCTCTGAAAAAGAAATTATTCTTTAACACTTGAAATTCCTAAGACTAGGAAGGTGTTAATTACCATCCAGAAACTCAATGCATAATAAGGCTCAAAAATGTAGATATTTTAAAGCCTATCCCCTTAGTGCTTAAAAATCAACCTATTTTTTTGATGCTACAGACAGAAACACAATTCCTTGATTTTCCATTACCTTTATATTATCTCATCTATGCAACTATGAACTCCGGCCAAGACAGCTTCTTGTTCCCTGTGAACAGTGGGTTTCTAAGGTCTCAAAGACACTTATTCTTCAGATAGGTAAAAATGAAAAAAAGGATCAATCCTAAAAGGTTTACAGTAGTGAGAAAAGAAGACCATCTGCTCTGAGATAGCTCTGGGCGGATTTTCCCAGCAGGAAAGCCCAGGTTTTAGAAACCTTGTTATCATTAGAGAAAAGTAAAGAAATTGCTGAGAATTAGGATAAAAGATTTTCAAGCCCTACAGCAGACAGAAATAATGTATTTTAGAATTATATGAAGGTTTTTGGTAGTTGGATTATCTGTGAATTTGGGTAGTTTGGTTTGTTTTTTAAAGAAGGGTAGACTGTTACAACACTTCCGGGTTCTGAAATTGATCAGATGCTATGCCTACCACTATTTGCTCTCACATACTCAAAATCTCATACCATCTTTATGAACCTGTTTATTCTGGATCAGCAAAGCTTCCAATGTAAAATGACAGCCCATGTAGAATAAATCTTCATCATTCTTTTGTGCTGAAATGCCAGGAGATTTGAAAACTAATCCTCTGTACACTCTCGTGTTCTCGTCTGTCCACCAGATCATGTCCCTGATGCTCCCATTTCAAATAGATTTTTATTTAACAGAGGCCTTTACCAGCTCCACAAATAACTGCTCCATGGTCTTTGAACTACTATTCCTATTGCCCATTTTGCTTCATTCTTTGTTCATTTGCTGTATTACAGCGCTCATACTGAGGGACAGACAGGTGAGCATATTCTCAAAGTGAAAGGCACTTCAGAAATTCCCAGCAGACAAGCTTAGCCAATCAGAGGCACAATACTTATCTTTGTTTTCCCCTAACCCTTTACTCTTATTCAAATAAAACAGATTTAAAAGCTTGTTTTTCTATACTCAAAGCACAAAAGGCTTTCTAAGACAAAGAAAAAAACCAGGCTAAAAAAAAGCCAACTCCTTGAGTAAAACAATGAGTCCCTTATTTCTGCTCCATATTTTCCCTATAGCTTTAAAGTAATTTCTCTTTTAAAAATTAACTTCCTCTGAACATACTAAGAGAAGACTGCCTAATAATAATACTGTGCAAGGAATAAGGAACAACATTTGTTGAGAGATTTTAGGATTGAGAAATACCAGGCGAAAACCTCAGACTAAATGGTAATATATCTAGTTATAAGTAGCCTTAGTGGAAAAACTCAACAATTCCGTATTTGATTAACGGAAGATTTCTTATACTCTCCTCACAGATGAGAAAATCTAGAGCAATGGGGCTCAGTGTTAAATGATCATCCAAGTCCACAGAGCTGGTTAATGACAAAGCCTAACATACAATCCAGTCCAGTATATTATTTGCACCATATCATACTGCCATTGTAAAGCTAAACATTTCTATCTGAACACACTTCGACGTAGACTCATGATAAAATCAATGTTCTCAAAAGATTTGGCAGCTGGTTTACCGTAATTTGTTACTGACCCCCAGAATATAGGAACCTGTAATTTGTAAGAATTCTTTACTACGGCTCAGGTTATTGAGTTGAAAATGACATAGTGCAGAATCTAAGCAAAGTGTGCTTATAAAGAAAGGTCACTGGCTACACACATGCACATTTCCATTTGCCATTTACTGTCCAAGTAATGCATCCACACAGCAAACCGTGGCTTCTCCTATGGCTTCCTGATGTTAGAAAACATTTTTAGGCCCTCCTCAAATTTCTACCACTGCAGTGTTTTGAGGAGGAAAGAATGTGACCTTTTAAACCTATTTGGTAATGTGGCTGAACCAATTCACAAAGCACATTAAGGCAACAGACATCTTCTCTATGGCAGTTTAATGAGTTCCTCTTAAAGTCTGCCTAGAAAAAGAAGCCATGATTCTTGCTCAAAACAAAATGGAACAACAAAAAGACTCTCACCACCAGTAGAAGAAAGTTAGCTAATTTACAGTGTGCTATAGAACACACTGCACGGTGAGGCACGGTATTTCTGCAAATGCCAAAACAGAATGAAACGAATACAGGACAAAAGAAAGAGGGGGAACAAAAGCACATGCTGAGCTGAGTCCTTAAAATACCACCAATCAAGAGGTGCACGCTGTGTGTAACAGTAGATGTACTTAATGCACCCAGTATTTTAGTGCCTCATTAGTGAAAAATCTTAGGCAGGGTCCAAGAAGGCCCCGCCGTACTCTGAGTTGTGCTCTACGTTAGCAAAATTCACATGTTACATGATGAAACCATATGACTTATTCAAAGCTAGTCTGTTTTTTCCTTCATGTATCAACAGAACTCCCATGACTTCATCTCGAGGCTACTGAGCTATAGCGAGTTGTCTGGGCCTCGGTGGGAAGGGAAGCCCTAGACACTTAATAAATGTGACAAAGAGCTATGACATCTGCAGTCTAGTTTCAAACACTTCAGCATAGGCAATGTAATATATTTATGGATTAAAATTACATCCTGGCCAGGTGTGGTGGCTCACACCTATAATCCCAGTACTTTGGGAGGCCGAGGCAGGTGGATCACTTGAAGTCAGGAGTTCTAGACCAGCCTAGCCAATATGGTGAAACCCCACCTCTACTAAAAATACAAAAATCAGCCGGGCATGGTGGCAGGCGCCTGTAGTTCCAGCTACTTGGGAGACTGAGGCAGGAGAATCACTTGAACCCAGGAAGTGGAGGTTGCAGTGAGCCGAAATCATGCCACTGCACTCCAGCCTGGGTGACAGAGTAAGACTCTGACTCAAAAAAAAAAAAAAAAAAAAAATTATATCCTATACACAGTCAGTGGTCCTAATCAGAATTGACTTCCCCAGGGTGGTAAACTAGCATTGTATCAGAGGCATCTGTGTCTTAGTCAACACCAGAGATTTTGCTAATTGGCATACTCAAATGGATTTTCATTGGTGAAATCAAAATCAGTGGCTTGCTGCTCACGTGGCAGATGTTTAATAACAGGTTTCCATCAATGAAACTAGTGGTGTTTAAGATAAGTGAATTGGCAAAATTTTCCACCCTTGTATGAACAGAGCATGAGAATCTAGGGATGTCTACAGTTTGTACTCTCAGGACATCTGATGTTCAGTTGCTAAATGGCCTTATGTCCAGCAGCTGGGTCACAGGATGCCCACTCCCTGGTGCCCACTAAAAAGGTGAGAGAATCCTGCCTCTGGAAAGTTGACACGTTGACCTGGAGTGGAACTGTCCAGAAAAATTTGACTGGAGCACTTAAAAAAGCCAGAAAGCTGGAACTTCATTGAGTTTATGGGACAGGCTTCATGAATGCTTCAAACCTATTTGCTAATAACTGTTTAATAAAAGTCTGTTACACAGAACTGGCCTGAGACTTAGTTGAGCTGCGTGGGATGAGCAAATCCTCACACAAAACTTCAGCCACTTTTCTTTGGCTACTGCTAACTATTAAAAAGAATTGGGCATGACTAATAATTGGCTTAAGACTATTCTCAACATGTACGTAAAATATATAACTGCTGCCCTGAAGACAACCCATACCAGCCTGGTAAATTTTCAGGAGCTTTCCAAGCCACTTGTTAAAAATTGCCATTATTGTGAATTAAAAATGTCTAAATTTAAAGTAAATATCTTATATTGAAAACAAGGGTAATAGATACTTAAAACTGATACACTTCCTATGTAGTTTGCTATGTTTTACGATGGTTTACGTCAATTGTATTTATACGGTGGGAAAACCACATAATACAACTACACAACAGTGTTCCACTGGGCCTCTCTTTCCAGCTCTGAGTTCAGTGATGTCACACTGGTACTGGAAATTGGCCACGGTGGGAGTATCTACACCAGGGAAACCAGCAGATGCTACCATCAGGGATTTACTTTGTTTTCAGGACTGGTTGTTAAACACTTACCAGAATACCACTGATGTGCATGGTCTTGATTTAATAGAGAAGACTTTGACTCCTCTCAATATCCATATTCTAAAACCCTGGAATATACCAGCATAAATAAAACCCCACACCCTGTTTACCGCAGCGGGACCGTGCCGCCATGCACACCCGCTGCCCAGGGCAACGGGACACACTCACTTTTGAAGTAGCTGGGTCCACTAGTCTCTGGCGATGTCGGGCTGAGTTGAAATGGCTCTTCGGAGGCTGCCCTTCCTGACAGTGAATGGAAGATGGGGAGTGAACGAGAGGTGGGAAGGGAGAAGGTGGGGTGTGGGATGATGGAGAAATGGTCAGAAAAGGGAGAGGGACAGTGTTTAACGGCACTGTATTTTGTTTTAGCTAAACATCAACAACAAAAACACAAGACACATTCTACCCCACAAAAGCACATGTGATGTGCAAGTTATTTTGTTATAAACAAACTTGTATGTGCATGTGTGTAATAAAGTCACAAACACAACCCAGTATTAAGATATTTCCCATCAGATCTTCATTTTTCTATTATTTGATAGTTGTCTCTATTTCAAAAACACTAAGGGAAACTGAAACATGATTTCTCTGAATATGAAGTCCATCTTTCTGAAATAACAGAAAGTACTGCAGAGCCTTCTTAGGGTTAGAATTGCCACCCATTTAGATATGAACAAAATGATGTGGAAATCACAATCTTCCTCCAAACCATGACAAGTGTCCTGCCTGAGAAGCTTCTCTCTCTGCCATCCTGGCAGAATTCATGGTGTCTGACAGCCACCATAAACTCTGCCCCTAAATGCATATTATATTTTATTGGCTGAAACAGAGATTTAGCATTACGTTTGTAATTTAAACCTATGTAAAAGAGTAGTCTCTCCTAAGACCAATCCTGTTAACGTCCTCGTATACATATTGGACATATGGGTCACATGGAAAGGCGTAACACCTTCCTATTATTCATTCCATGCCAAACACACAAACATACAACCCAAGGTACTATATTTAAAAGGGAAGTCTGGAATGGGGCCTCATTAATGGTATAGAGTTTTACTTCTCCATCTCTCAGAGCTGGACAACAGTGAACAAGAACTTAAGAAGCAAGTACCACCCACTGTGAGCATCAACTCCAGGGAAAGGGAGATGAAAGCAACCAGGAGATGGTCTCACAAAATCCCTGGGCTTAAAGGCCCCATGCAAGTGAGAGCCAACATCAGCAGCGAAATGACCCTCATATGAGGGCTAGCATTTGCTCAGCTCTCTTAACAGAGGAGGGTGAAAAGACCTCCTTAGATAAAAATGCAATTTCTATATTACAATACTTAAGTATTCTTTTTCTTCTTCTTCTAGGAATAACAGCTCTATTACTTTTAAGACGTGTATCAATCACACCCACTTCAGTTGCCAACAATCACTGCTTCGGCATTCACAGTATAATGCTTACCTTTCAAAAAGGAAATGTTCTAAGTAGCAGATTGCCAGTCAGGATTATGTTTTTCCTAGTAACCGCCCTGCCAACATGCATTCTTTCTCTACCCTCTCTGGGAAAAAAATACAAGGAAACAGTCTTGAAACTCTGCTGACCTAGAAAATGTACCAAAGCTTTAAGAACAGAGAATCTTTCCATTGACTTACTGACTATTGGACAAAACAAAACCAAGCAAAAACCCGAGCATGTCTTCCCATGTCCATAGAATCAGGAGTTTTCACATGAGAAATACAGTGTTTGAAAAAAAGCATTGTGGATTATTTATTTAGTTTGATGTGAAAATGCTCCTTTCAACTTAATGGTTTATCAGAAGGTGGTTTTAAAGCTTTTTCCCCACCTAAAAGTTACCAAATGTAAATAAATAATTATCCTCATTAATCTATCTGAATAGCTAATCACCCTTATTAACCTTCCCTATGGAATGGTTACAACTGATTTAAGAGTTCCAAAGCACAGTGCCAGGCTCCCACTCATCGGGAAAAAATTAACCTCAGCATTAAATACACAATTACAGTCAATGTGCAAATTAACTAAATCCTGGGCCTGTGGTTTATTGCTCTTCTTCTGACTCCAAGGTGAAAATGTTACTTTATTTTTTAATTAGCTAATTGTGCCATGAACTCAGCAGGGGGCAGATGTTGATATTAAACCCAGGATCTGAATCTTAAACTCCCAGTAGGTAGGAGACTGGTTTAAAGAGAGCAAGCACAACCTTCAAAGGTTAGGTTTTTGAAACCCAGTGTCCATTTTATCTAATTTATTTTCAAGTACAATAAATCTGTAACAATAGTCTGCTCGCAATGAACAAATAGGGCCATGAAATAATCAATGTATTTACACAGAGATTCCAGTAATACATCTTCATAGAAACAAGGAAGAGCCTGGAGGATTAAAGTCATTTAATAAATTACATATGGAGTGAAAATAAAGGAACTGTAAACAGCTCACCACAAGTTTTTCTCCATGTGACTCATACCTTAAACTAACCTTAATTTTCAATGAACTAGTCACTTGGTATTCTATTGTTTAAAAAAAAAAAAAAAAGGTTTGTGATGGTTATTTGTATGCATATATATAGAGAGGGAGAGAGTTAGTTAGTTAGTTTGGTGACACTGAGACTTTGTGGAAAGGTGCACATAGTTAGATCCAAGATGGTAACCTTTGAGAAGAATTTAATTCCTTAGAAGTTGAACATGCCTGCTTCTTCACTTTAGGGAGATCCTACCTGAAAATATTTTTCTTTTTTTTTTGGTTTGTTTTTTTTTGTTTTTTTTGTTTTTTTTGTTTTTTTTTTTGAGACGGAGTCTCGCTCTGTTGCCCGGGCTGGAGTGCAGTGGCCGGATCTCAGCTCACTGCAAGCTCCGCCTCCCGGGTTCACGCCATTCTCCTGCCTCAGCCTCCCGAGTAGCTGGGACTACAGGCGCCCGCCACCTTGCCCGGCTAGTTTTTTGTATTTTTTAGTAGAGACGGGGTTTCACCATGTTAGCCAGGATGGTCTCCATCTCCTGACCTCGTGATCCGCCCGTCTCAGCCTCCCAAAGTGCTGGGATTACAGGCTTGAGCCACCGCGCCCGGCTATTTTTCTTTCCCTATTCCCAGTCTTGCTACCTACCAGATCCTATGACACATCCAAGAAAGGTACAAATTCTAAACCTTTGAGCTTAGTCATTTAAGTACAGCTGTATCAGTTTGATTATGTAATACTTCATACAGTTTTGAAAAAGCAAACAGGGCTCTCATAAGTGATATCACAAGGAATTCACGATCCCATATAACAGATTTGTTCATACAGCTTTCCGTGTTCAGGAGAACATTAAATTATGTCACTCAACACTAAAGGCAAAATCTGTGACTTCATTTTCCCAAATTTTAAGAATCCGTTTCTCTTTCTAAATGACAGCCTTCAGACTCTGGTACTGTCATTCCAGACTGAGACATCAGTCTCCTGCTATCACTTACCTCCTGGTTAATGCCATCAACATCAGCAAAATAACAAATTAGACCTGGGCAAGCCCCACAGGGCTCTAAACTGAATGGCTTATTTGCATATGCCAATAGGGTTCTTCACTGCAAGGGGAGCTGGCTGAGGAAGGGGTGGATTCCTCACCATTAGTTTTGTGGAAAGGGAAGCACATTCTATTGCTTAGGTGAACCCAACCAAAATCATTTTGCTGGGATAACTATCATTAATAAAAGAAGCAACCCTCAGTTATGTAAATAAACTCTTAGAGACTAATAAAAGAAGAGTTGACATGTGCATAATGAAGAAACTTAATGAGACATATTTCATCTCTATGCTAAATGCTTTTACCAAGCCTTCTCCTATTAAGTCATTTTAGAAATTATAAATATTCCTTAATACTACACATCATACTTTTTAAATAAATTATTGTTCCCCTAACATTACAGATCTGATAGCTTAGTACTTTAGCTTAATTTGCATCGCGTAAACATATTTACAAGAATGCTCTATGGAAAACAATGTATCAGGCATGAAATAATGGGTGCCCAGTGAATTTAGTTGCTAACATCAGACAATTTATAAAAGCCTAATTCTTTAAATCAGGTATAAGTTATTCTATATCAAAATGAGAAGCATAAGGAAAATTTAAAACTAAGTATATCTATAATTTTAGCACTAGTTCCATTAAAAAAAAAAAACTGTCATTAGGCATTTCTAGCCTAGAAAACCAGAAAATCATATATCGGAGCATACAAGTATTTGAAGGCCCACCAGCCTGCTTCTTAAAAGTCCATTCAAAAGATTCATTCAAATTAGCTGGGCATAGTGGCTCACGCCTGTAA